ATTTTCCTACATTATTGTTCAGCGAGCGGTGATGACACTTACCGATGACAGTGGGCTCCAGGTCCACAAAAACAGCTCTGGGGACGTGCTTTCCGGAACAAGTCTCACTGAAGAAGGTGTTGAACGAATCGTCTCCTCCTCCAATGGTCTTGTCACTGGGCATCTGTCCGTCCGGCTGGATCCCATGTTCCAGGCAGTAAAGCTCCCAGCAGGCATTGCCGATCTGGACACCAGCCTGACCAACGTGCACCGAGATACACTCACGCTGTGGAAGTGAGATGGAAAAGCCATTTATTTGGTGACCTCATTTTTGACTTATTATCCAAAAATTACATTGTTAGACCTGCTCTTCAACTAACGTAAAGTTACCTGGGGGAATATGACTTCATGATTTAGGACTGTGATTTCAGCAATACTGGAATTTTAGTATAGAACATTAAAAATATTTAATCGTTCCATCAGTCAGCTATGTAATTTGTCCCTTGCAACAAATGAATCACACTTGAGAGAATTCTTAACATGGTTAATGCTTTAGAGAGCCAAGTTGAACTTGAAGTCAGAGTTTTCACTGTCACTTGCATAGCTCTCTTAACCTAATTACATCGCAAAGGTAACTTATGTGGAAGTCAGGCCAGGTTATGTTTAGAGTTTTGGTTTAAGGGAATTTGAATGCATCACTGATGTCATTTTTCTTCTGAAGTAACACCTTTTATACGCAACCTGCTAAACCACATCCTACCAACAAAGGACCAGTCACAGAAATTTGCCTGTATTCAGGAAAGTCAGCTTTATTTTTTTATCATTTGCATCTGATTTGAGAAGTCGGTGCTTAACTGTTCCATTTTGGTGCAGAAGAGTCGAATGATGCACCAAACTTGCCTGTTGTGTAAGCGCTCACAGACCCTGCAGAAGGATCATAACCACTGTCTGATCATCATCTCCGACTCGGGTTTTAGGTTTTGTAGAACCAACTAAGTCAAAGGTTGGAGAACATGGTCTGCAGTACATCCTCCGCTCTCTCACTCTTCAGTAGTGACATCAGTTTTTGGTTTTGTCTCAGCTTTAACTTTCTTTAGACCCTCTTACATCATAAACATTTTCGTCATAAATTAGCAGGCAGACACTGGAAAGAGATCACATCGATCACGGGAGAGAGACGGATAGATGGCAGCGTGTGTGCATCTTTTTGCGTATTTGGGGAGCGCACCCGCGCGCTATGGTCGCTGTGGCGAGAGCAATCTACAGGAGATGGCGACAGATTCAGGACGTTCAGAATGTGTGGGATCTTAAAAATTCCGCCCGCTATTTGCCGCTTTCTATAGTCCGAAATCGCTACTCCAATTTAGCCTGTCCGCTACTCATGTGGTCACCTGAGGTCTTTTACGCTCTGAACTAACAACCCTTTAGAAATATGTCGCATGTGAGCCAGGACAAGACAATCTTTTGTGTCAAGAACAAACATGTGCACATCAGAGTTCAGCAAAGCAAACACAGCTGTAGACGATGAAAGACTTCTTTACAAAAAAGTAGCCCATACACGCCCAAAAACATTAAAGACATGAGAAGAAGAAGAACAATCGAGCTTCAAGTGAGTTGGTTTGTTTGTAGTCTGCGGCCGCAGGTTCATAAAGGCCAGGATCCTTCAAAGAGTTGTTAGTCATGGGAATGCTTCAGCCTGAAAGCAGGATGACCTGTTGACAGCTGGCTCAGTGCGCGCACAAGAAGCCGGAAACGGACACAAGCAAATAACTTGAATTTTGGATGCGTCCTGTCATATCGCACCAAAAGTACAGTCAGGACAGCGTAGTCTGGTTAACAGTGGGAAATTTATCCTTTTAAAAATCAAATTTGAGTTACTAAATCCTGCTGATACTTCCGGCTAATCTCAGTTAACGGTCTGCCACCTGATTATTGACTATTTCAGTAATGATTTTTGATTAAATCGACATTTAATAAGAGAAAAAAAATTTACTCACCATGTTTCCTGAAGTCAAGAAGTTTCAGAGCCGGAATGAGGAAAAGGAGGAGAAATTAGTTAATTCCTACAAACAGGCTTTTATGAATCCTGTGTAAGAGATAAATGACCAGCTCCAGCTACACAGTGGCTTTTATAACCGCAGATCCTCCGGAAACGGTCTGCTGGATCTGATTGGTTTGATGTCGCATGAGACCTGCGCCTATTGGTGAAAATGGACCAGACGGTAGGGTGGAGATCTCTGCAGGTGCTTTCTTACGATTTCTTAAATATTTGTGGAGTACAAAATGGTTTTAACAACTTGTTGGGGCTTTTTCATTATATGAAGAATGGATATGTTACACTTTCATATGAACATTTGGCTTTTATTGACTTCAGAATTATAAAGAAACATTATGAAGATCTAACATCTGGGCTTAATGGATCTGGTCACTTGCCACCTATTTGCAAAGAACACTGATTCGTCCAACCAGAAGGTTTTGCACTAAGTTGTCCAAGAGATGCCAGGAACGGAAGAAAGGAGTCCTGATAGTGGGATCTGGAACTTCTATTCTCAGGTTTGTGTGCACCTCTACCTCAAACCTCAATAAAAGCTCTGATCCAGAGCAGTTTTAAATAATAGCCTTGAGCTAGAGAAAAGTATGTTGGAAGTTGATTGGTCACCGATCCTTGAATTTTGCTGATTTTTTTGTTCCAGGCTGACTTCAGCCACCTTCTCACTCCTCTTCTAACAGAGATACCCACAGCACGCAGGTGTGAAACTAAAGATGGGCAATAATACTGCCATTGTCTTGTTGTTCAGGATTATGTGAAAAGGTTGGAAATTCAGTGGAAAGGTACTAATGATGCAGATTAGGTAATTGGGTTATTGCCTGGAAAAGAAGCTAGATGAGGTTGAAAAACAGCAACAAGGATGTGAGAAAACAGGTTATGGAAATCGCCTCATTTGCTGGTTCAGGTATGTTTAAAAAGGTCTTTGTTCCCCATCATCTGAATGTTACCGATACACTTTCCAAACTATTTAAATAGGTTTTGTGGTTGAAAGAACTTAAAATAAACATCTGCACTAAGTTACTCCAGTAAAAAAATATCAAAGCTCAGGCTTAGTGCTAATACAGTCATAAAGATCACTAGTATGACTGAAGACACTGATCCTACTGTTATAGTAAAAACAGTCATCCGTCAGCTCATGTGGCTTTAATGCATAATCTGGCGAGACAATCGAAAAATAAATAAAAATGGGGTGAGAAATTCTGCAGTGTGACACCAACTTTTCTAGTATGTGGTGAATTGATTTAGCCACTTGAATGCTTGTAGTTAAGAATATCTGTTCATCAGAGAGTTTAAAGTCGGTTATTTATCCTTCAGTTGAATTTGTTGTGTAGCCTGTAAATGTGGCCAAATTAGAAGTTTATTAAAGCCTCCTGCAGTAGACCTGCTGTTTTAAATATAATGTAAATCCAATGGGTTTTTCTGCTTTGCATCTTTGTTTATAACCTCTCTTTTATGGATCTGTTACGTGACTACAAGCATAGCTTTGAACATCAGAGTTACATGTTTCTTTTATTTGTATTAATTTTTATTTCAATTAATTTTAGTTTCCACAGCAGATTGAGTCATTCAGTTTCATTTTTATTAATTGAAAATATTCAGTTTCACTGTTAGCTTTATATTTTAATGGGTATATAAACATTTTCAGGTTATGTAGACATCCTTGTCTCAATAAACTGATTTACAAATTTGACCTCATCAAAGACCAAAAATAAGATTTAGTGTTTATTTTATTTTGGTTAATCTTGTAAGTGTATTATCATTTTAGTTAACCTTTTTTTTAGTTTGTATTTTTGTTTCAGTTCATTCTTTTTCTAACACCTAGTTTCAGTTTTTACTTCACTTTTAGTTCCTATAATAACCTCCTGCACATAATGGACTTGAAACAGTCAATTGATGTGAGCCAAATGAAAGTTGGGTTCCCGCCCAGTGCTTATTCTCTGGCACTGCCCGTGCATGAAGGGCTTCTCTCAACGCAGATGTCCTTGGCTGGTGGACGATCTAACTTATCAGGACATACAGTGTGGAATCAGATTTTGGCCTCTTGTCAAGCAGGGGTGCACCGAAGGGAAGGAATGCCAGGTGGCAGGGTGTTGTTATTGACAGCATGACATTTCCTGCATGATGATGAATCAATTACTGTATAACCTACATTTTGGTTACCCCACATTCTGCCTTTAGGCCTCTTTTTGGTGGCGTTACACGTCCACTTCACAGGTTTAATAAGAAATAAGTTGTATGAGGCTGCTGACATTCAGTTTTCTATACTTGACAATATTTCATCTCTTACAGTTCCTGACAAACTTATATTGCAGTGTCGGGGATATACATGACAGTATAAAAGAAATCATGCACCATTTTATTCGAAAAATGTTAAAGTCCATAAAGCTAAAATTGCCATTGGAATTCATCTTTTAAATCCTTTCTATTACTTGGAGTCTCTGAAATCTGGGCTATTTTCTGCTTTTCTA